CACTGTAGGGACAAGAAGAAATACAGATTTTTTTTCCAGTGGAGGGGGGGTTTAAAAGGCCCTTATCACAAATAACAACTCCAATGTGTAGTATTTTCTCACTGTGTGGAAGCTGCTTCCAGCTACAGTATAAGAGTTTTTTGGATTTGGACTCCAGCAACTCCAGCCAAACATGTTATCCAAGATAGTGTTTCTGTTGCCAAACACATCGTCCTACAAGGCTTTTCTTTTATAAAATTAAAAGTGAAACATACTGTTTGAAAATATAAAGCATAAGGTCCACATATGTAAGCTAAGGAGAAAGCATGATTAATAGAATGACAAAGAACAATGCTGTTTCTTTATCACTATGTCCTCCACATGGATCAGTTGGTGAGGAAGCTAACTTTTTGACCGAGACGTTCAGCTTTAGTCTTAGTCTTTTAACACACTATCATCATGTGCATACTAAGACCCCCTTTATTAATATGAGTTAGCTTTTTCAACCAACTCCTGGAGCTACCATTAGCTTAGTTAGCTACCTAGCTACAGCTAATAAAATCTACGAATGGAAAGCTTAGTGGTAGCAACAAACAAGCTTAATGGTCCCAACTGAAAATAGTTTAAATGCATCAGCCGGCAGACAAGCAATCGTGAAGTTTTCTTGCCTCTCAGTCAGAACAAAGAACCCAAGAATGAGACCTCCATACCTGTCAGTTAGAGGAGTGATGACTAATCGTGGCGTGTTGCCCAGGTATTCGTAGGAGTAGAGAAACTGGGCATCACAAATGTTGGCAAAACAATGCCTCTCCTTCTCATCCCAGCGGTGTCTCAACTGGGAGAGCCACACAAAGGCCTGAGAATTCTCCACCTTGGGAAAAAAAAGAAAAGAGTGGAACAGAGAGTGTAAAGGTAAAGCCAGAAATAATCTGTGCTTTTCCACCCTCTAATTATGGTAATGACATACCTTGAATATGAGTGCATTACTCACAGGTAATAGCCTCTCAACAAAAAAAACAAAAAATCAGCAAGCACATTAGAATTTATACAGTGCAGGTTGCTCAGACAGATTCATCCACCACGCCCCCCCCTCACCTTCTGAGCGATCATTTTCGCCACCACATCTCTGGCGTGGACGTCGATGGTGCAGATGGTCATGACCTTCTGCCGGTCGCCCGGTGTAAGCTGCCCAATCAGCATGGAGATGAGAGTGTTGAGCTGGGACACCTGTTTCTTGTAGTACTCCTTCAGAGCGTTGTCATAGCCCTCCTCCAGACGGGCGAACGCCATGCCGACGTCAGACGTCCACCAGATCTGAGTGCAGGTCAACGCCACCTGAATCAGAGGTAATAAAAGCATTCACAGAATTCACATTCTAAAGAAAGTTTATAAGATTTATGTGGGTGGATCCCTGTATTTGAGGTCACTCAGATTCTTAACTTGTATCCAATTAAAACAAAAGCATCTAAATATACAACAAATGGATGCGCTGAGCCAACTAATTAATATGTATATGCCCATATGCTTCATGCATAAAACTGGCAACCAATTACTCGAACAACCCAGAGTTTTCTTTTATATCTGCAAGTGGGAACATTTGGATTGAGATGTAAAGTTCAGATTTGTCGGCCCTGGCTGTTTTTGCTGAACAGTGTGGAAAGTCAGTTTCAAAGAACACTAGATGGGCCGAACAGGTTTTATGTGTCTGGCCATTAACCCTCATGAATACCAATTTCATTATAATGTGTTATTTGCAAGATTATTTATCTATTTATTATTTGGTTGAAGAGCTCTGAAATTAATAGGTCTTAATAGGCTTGAGACCAAACTGAAGCCATTGCTTACAGTGTTGCAGGATTGGCAAGATGGTGGCATCAAAGTCAGTTACACCATATTCTGTCACCCATCAGATTCAGTGACCTGATGAATGTCAGCTTTGTTGCCACTGCAAAGGTTGATTTTCATGGTCATTATGCTGTATTTGGATAGCTGGTGTGTTACAGAAGGTGACAAAGATAGAGCTAATATGTGACCCAATCTAAACTACTACAGATAAAATTGTAAAATGTTGATATACAGTGTCACAGCAGACGATGGCGCCGAATGGTGTAACACCTGTCACCTGTCGATATCTGGTTGACACATCAGCCTGTTTGTCAAAGTCAAATCTCCAGCTGCACAGAAACGGGTGATGGGTTACAAATTTTGGAGCAACATCGGATGAACAGACAGGGTAGGTTTGTAAAGGAAATGGACCACAC